ATTTTACATCACCTCAGCCGTGGAGCTCACCATGTCCTATTTGTGATGGAAAACATGGGAATTATGGATTACATGGCTCATGGTACCTCAAAAATGGGAATCAGTTCCCTTATGATCCTGAGTTAGCGAAATTGTATTTCCAAGATAAGTTGGAATATTGTCTTACTTGCAACACTTCAAGCAATAAACTCAAGTTCGCAATTGTAGCATAGTGAGATCGATCACGCCGGTAAATATCATGTGCTCATGAATTATATCTGCCATGCGCAGTAATAACGTCAACTGTAAGTAGGTCATGATTTTTTTACTGGTATATTTTTTATTACGCAAACTGAACTATTAATAAAAAAAAAAAGCTTCCCCTGATTTACACAGATTTGTGGTTCGTAACTCTTAGGCAGAAAAATTCTTGCAGAAATGAATAGGATGCGACCTAAGATTTTCGCTCATATTAACTGTATATTACGTATATTACATTCATACGAAACATTTTTTGTATAGACCGTAGTATAGCATTCATTTATTCTCGAACTTTCCCACATGTACTCAATGAAAATTTATTAATAAAAACTCTCCCTGACGATCTTTGTATACTCTATTGTAAATACCGTTGATCAGATTTTCGGGATGCGATCATATTAACGTAATTTCCCCCAAAGCGTTGATCCTGCAAATTATATAAAAAGGTGAAATCTTAGTTAGTGAACTCTTTTATCCGCCTTGTGCAAATAAAACAAAAATCAAACGAAATAACTTACCATTATTTTAATCATCAATATCAAACGAGTATATTCCGCAAAGTAATAACCAAGTAAGTTGGTTTGATTTCTCAGCTTGATTCTAGATTTACGTCATCATGATGTTAATCAAAAATTTTTTGATTTATAGATGCTTAAAGTCAAAGCGGATATATTACCATTCTTGATCCTTTCTGCATATTTGATTTTCGCAGAGAAAATCGTGATTGCCAGAATGTGTCTCATCGGCGCAGTGTTATTTTTGTGGCTTCACAAATTTCACCTGATTTTAATCATATGCCACGAAATCTGTCGCAGTATATCAAATAAAGATGTTTGGCGCGGTATAATATTGATGATAAAAAAGTCGAAACACCTTTATTATAACACATCAAGCAACAAATTTCTTGAATACGAGGCGGAAGGGAATGCTGTGAAAATGAACCGTAGTGGTAAGTGTGAATCGGAAATATTGTAATGCTTATTTTTACCTCAGTTGATAATCTCCGGTATTTATGCTATAGATTCGAAATTTTTTCATCTCGGTGAAGCTCTCTTGCGGGAAATAATCTTTTACATAGTCTGTGTGGGCAGAAGTGATATGTATAAGCGTAGATATGTGTATGATTATTTATTTCTAAAATCTAGTGTAATAAAGGAGTATGAGGCTGAGAATCTTGTAGTTAGTAATAGATATAGAAACAAATTTATCTGTAGAAATTATTCTGAGAGCAAAGAAATAACTTGATGCTGGGACTCGCATTAATGGCCTAGGATCCGCGTACTCCCTCCCTCTTTGATAGCATCATACATTTCTCTCGCTACCTCTGATTTAGTTTTGTATCTGAAAAATCAATAAAATTTCTCACACCTCGGACAAAAATTTTTTTTCGTACTAATCGTTGCAAAAGTGATCGGCGTTACAACTGTGACGCTCACGTGACTAATAAAGATAACTATAATGATTAATGAGGGACTGTTCTGCTGATCCTAGTAGATTACTTCCTTTTACGCTTTGTATTTGCCACGTAAAAAAATTTATTTATACAGGAGGCGCGATTTTTTCTTTTCATATTGGCAAGTTTGGCAGGTATGGCACTCCCAAATGACTATCTACAAACCACCTCGCCAATAAATTGGAATCTAGACGACTTCGCAAATTGGATCGCTACCAATCATTCTGACGACAAGAAAAAAATAATCTATTACATGAAAACCGGTCTCAAGAAATACAGCGAGAATGACTCGGACATAAATGTAATGAGGAAGGCAGACGATTTGCTCAATAGCTTAAAGGTGAGAATATGTATATGTGCTTCTGCGGCACATCCAAGGGACGATATGTCAGCCGGGTGTTGAACGATATGTTCGCCATTCAAAACGCTTCCTGTGGCACATCCAAGGGACGACATGTCAGCCGGGTGTTGAACGATATGTTCGCCACAGATTCCTATATTTAGCCTTTATTTGTGTTTATCTAGAGGATATGAACTAATACCTACCCATTCTATCCTTCTATATATTTTTCAATGAATACACTGAAAAGGAATGGAAAACCAACAAGATGAAGACTAATTATTTCCAGACATTAAAGGATAAGAAGAAAATAGCTGAGTTACAAAGTGAACAAGAAATGCGACTTGCTGATATTGAATGTTTGGCGGTAATTTATTTTCACCATTTCTTTATATAAAATCTTAAGGTTTTACTAATCAATAATCTTACAGGTCCGACAGATGCAAAATCACACAAATGCAGCAGTAACAATTCATCAAAAAATTGCTGAAAAATTTGTAGGAGTGACTCAGAAAATTTCTACAGAATACGTAGTGGAAAGAGATCGGGTTGAGAAAGCTGGCCTAGAACGGCCATGTACACCGGAGGATAAGGTTATATTTTTTCCATCATGTTTTTTAATGTATAGTCCACCTACTTATCTTTCAGATGTGCACAGATTAGAACTGTCACGTTCGGTGATAAGCCTTCCTCAGTTCCCAGACCCACGGAAGATGAAAATGAATCGGAAGAGGTAATGATCTTTTTATTATATGTACAGAGGATATTAGTTAAATTTTGGAAATTTCTGGCTTTAGGAATCTGAATCCGAGGAACCTGAATCCGAGGAATCTGATTATGAGGAATCGGATGCGATTTATGATGCTGTTGCTGAAACCCAGAACCACAACATGGATAAGAAGGAGAGAAAGGTGAGTCATAGAGTTCCATCATGTCATTTTTGAAAGGTGGTGGCGATTATATATGATAGTTTGGATACCAATATCATGATTGATAAAGTACTAAGACCTAATTTTTTTTTATGTAGAGTGTAATCAAGTTAAATTCTAACAATAGAAAAGAAATAGAGGAAGCGTATACAAAAATGAAAAAACGATGTATGTGGAGGTTGTCTTCAGGAAGATACGTAGAAGAAGAATTGTATAATCTTGGCAAATCATTTGAATACGAACAGTAAGTATCTCACCTGTTATGGCAATGTGACAACACAACATCTAACCCTTCTATATAGTACTGTCCATTCCTTCATTATGGACGTGGATGATAATGAAGTGAAAACTCATTTTTCTGAAGACGAATTGCATGAAATAAAAAGCGCATCCAGACCCGTTGTAACTCCTATCTCAGATGAAGTTGTCGATTACCTCGAACAGATAAATGAAAAGGTAATGGTAGATTTCCACTAACAAAAATTTATATGTGCATATGTTTGTTGCTGATTGATTACTTTTTCAGTCGAGTTTGAGAGAAGTGAGAGATTTCATTAACCAATGCGATGAACGATTAGGAAAGTCTTACGATCGGTCAAAAAACCACGATATTGATTATATTCGTTATTCTGTTTATTCCATGTAAGTTGAAATCTGTTATTGAAAAAAAAGTCATGAAAGCTCACATATATATTTTTTTATTACAGGGTGAGAGAACTAGAAAGTGGAAGTTTAAGACAGGAAAATCTCGAATCATGGTATAACTGCCATGTATGGACTCCGATCGTAGATCAAGGTTTTAGTGACATTAATGGAACTTCAGTAGTTAGGTAATGATTTTACTTTTTATTGTTGCATATATTAGCTTAGCTACGACATTAAAATTTCATTATTCTTTAAGAGGAGAAAGTACTAGTATAGCCACGTCAAACAGAAAGAACATTGGAAAAAAACCAAGTGATAGAAAAAAACTTGGTCGCCGTGGTGACTGGATTCTACGATCAGTAGGCAATAAAGACAATGATGAGTTTGGAGCCGGTGAGGCTGGAAGAAAGTTTATTGATGAATATGACACAAAAATTTTAACTGAATCTAAGTTAAAATTGCCGAAGATGCTCAAGGACATGATCGTCAAATTATTGAGTAGAGTCAATTGGAATATTGATAAAAGAAAACAAATACAGACCGTGGGAATAGTCCATTCTGGTGAATATTATAAATGTTCTCTTAACAACTTGATTTTATGACCTAATTGATTTTACGTTGAATAACATTTGTAGGGCTTTCCATGATGATATTATATCTGGATAATCCTTGTGGATATGTATGTAGATTAAATCGGGGCGAAATACTTGAAGTTCCGGATGATGAACGGTTTTTTTCTTCTGTATTATTGCTACTTGCTGCAGTCCTTAATTTGAAGGTATGATTTGTTATCACCATGAAAATTTTGTTATTTAGTTATTATTTCTTATAAGTCCTTATATGATTTATTAGTCATGTGTTCGTGAAACAATAAAAGCTGTTCAAAACAAAGAAATCAATAAATCATCATTCAAAAAGGCAGGTTTTTTAAAGCGATCTCATGACGATGCAATCGAGATTACTCATTGCACAAGCACACCTAAAAAACCAAAAAGTAGTAGAAATTAATGGAATAGAATTCCCTTTTTTATTGCTGTAAAAATAACTCAATCATTCGTGCAATTATTTTTATTCTGTCATATATCTGTAAATAATAAAATTTTTACATAAAAATTTTTTGTGATCTGCGTGACAAATTGTCACGCGCACGTGATTTTCATTGATGATTTTTTTTCAGATGTGCCAAATAGGTTATTATATACTGCTTTCTGGAACATAAACGAAGTTAGTGGATGAAACCAATTATGTCATTTATGCCATTTTCGAGTAGAAGTTTGATAATGTACAGTGCCACATGATTGATTCATTCTTTTGCACAGTTTTAACAAGCTTGTCCAGACTCTACCATCAAAAAAATAATCTAGTCATATGCACAGTGCCTTCAGAAGATAAATTTAACCTGATACTGTCCATCAGAAAAAATATAAGTTTCGGGAGATAAATTTAACCAGATGCTGATCCTGGTTCTGCCCAATTTTTGATGAGCTCAGATAGACTCTACCATCAGAAAAATAATATTTTTTTGATGTGCATTTTATTTGTAATTATTTTCCCGAATTCCTGTTATGCTTATCTAGCTAAAGAAAAAAATCCGAAATCTGATTGGTCGATCATCTTGTGATATATAGAAACTCGTCAGTGCTCGGAACTTTTCTAGAACTATCGAGGAACTGTCGTGGAACTGCCAGGGGTGATACATGTGATATATTTCATGCCACAAACCGATTTAGCCAAGGCGCTATGCATATGCATGTAAATATAAAAATAGCTTAGTTGAGAGATATGTTTGTAATCGAATAAAAATGAATCTGATATTTTATTATCATATACTTGCTATAAATCACTATAAGTCATTA